GTGATAACACTGTTCAACAAGAAATGTGTTCATTTCCTTACTTAAATAACCATAAGCCCTCTGTACATGACTTTTACAATAAAATAAAAATTTTTAAAGATGGTATATACTATGTGAATTCAGACAATTATTTCCATAATCATTTGTTCTTTAAGAACATGTAAACTATCATTTTTTAGGGAAACAAAACTTAAAAAAATAATCTGCCTATATATATATTTCACACACACACACACACACACACACAGGATGTACTGTTTCTCATGACTCTCAGTACTACCAAAGACTAAAATCCACAAGCACAAATTTCAATGTAATAATAATATAACAGAGCATAAAGCTGAAAATAAAACCTTGGATTTTGATTCTAATCTCACAAATTGTAAAACTTACTTAATTTTCTTAATGCTTTATGTCTGATTTTGAGTAGACTGGCTAACATTTTTTTTTTTGGTCAACTGTGGGCCTGAATGCTGGTCCTGGGTGCTGTCCCTCAGCTCTTCAGCTCAAGGTTAGCACTCTGCCAATTGAGCCACAACACCACTTCTGGCTTTTTCTGCTTATGTGGTGCTGAGGAATCGAACCCAGGGTCTCAGTATGTAAGGCAAGCACTCTACCACTGAGCCACCTTGCCAACCCCGACTGGCTTTTTACATTCACATTTAACTGTGGGTAGTGTTACAGGGAACCTCATAATAGACATATGTGGTTGACTCCACTTAGCATCATATTCCTACTTACACTTGATATACATGTACCAACACACACAGAAGTCTGCAATCTGGGTAAAAGGCCACTTTGTATCTTGCTCATTCACTGTCTTGAGTTAATTGTGCGTGAGAGAGACAACATGAGGCCTGCCAGAGAATCACAACACAGAAACAAGAATGTACACGAGTATACCAGAGATTACCAGAAAGGACATGTCTACTATCTTTGATGTCCAATAATTTACCAAATGGAGTGCATGTTAGAAATAACAGCCAACCACTAGAGTAGGAACTATCACAAAACCATTCTTCAAAAAGCTGCCTCTAACATAAGTCAGAATTTGAGTCCTATGATTTAAGTGGGATCAAGAATATTTCTTTGTTGCTTTGTATGTCCCTCCCCCACTGCATAACCCCTGTTTTTGTTGTGTTTGATGTTGGTATAATTTGGGGAAGGGAAGGGAAAAAATAACTTTAAAATAGGGATACAGGTGGACCCATTGCAACAATGAGATGTACAAGTCATTATGTCGAAAAACAGACTTTACAACTTTGGCGCGAGGATGGGGGAGGCGCAGGGAGCGGGGTGGGAGATGGGAAGGGATGGGAAGGAGAAACAAAGGAGGAGGCAACAATGCTTGATAAGAAATGTACTCATTATCTTGCCCATGTAATTGTAACCCCTCTGTACGGTATTTTCACAATAAAAAAAAGAATGCGTCTTGGTATCTACACAAATATTATGACTGCACAAAGTCTAAAATACAGGCCTGACATGAGTCAAATAAAAAGTCCAAGTTAGACTGGTGCCAAAACTGGCCAAAATAACTTGGCCAACTTAATGGAGTTTCAATAATGCACAAATGAGCCGGGTGCCTGTGGCTCATGACTGTAATCCTAGCTACTCAGGAGGCTGAGATCTGAGGATCGCGGTTCAAAGCCAACCTGGGCAGAAAAGTCCGCTCTTATCTCCAATAAACCACCAGAAAACTGGAAGTGGCACTGCAGCTCAAGTGGTAGAGTGCTATCCTTGAGCTGAAGAGCTGAGAGACAGCGCTCAGGCCCAGAGTTCAAGGCCCATGACCGACAAAAAAAAAATGCACAAATGCATTATTCAAATTAGGTGAAATCCCAACATTAAATGATGAATAGCACCCATCAATTACCACAGTTAGATGTTTAAAGCTTCTCATTCAATATTTATAGAAAGAACAATAAGAAAAAAGTTAATCCTAAATAATCTTCATACCATCTTCAAACAGTATGACCTAGTTGTCTGTTGCAGAACACTATGTAAACATCTGGGGACAGCATGCTTCCCACTGGAGCACACAGAATGCTCATCAAAGTGAAGTTGATGCAGCGGCCTTCAGTAAGTTTCAGCAAAGTTCTTACCTAAAATTTTAGCATAGATTGCAGAACTATATGCTCAGTTTGAATTCAATGCTAAAGTTTAAGAGAATTCTCAAATAGTTAAAATTACATAGAACATTAAAAATTATATATTCGTTAAAATGCAGGGCAAGGGCCATTAGAGACAATTAACATATACCTTGCAAAAGAAAACAGCCTGGCACTGGTGGCTCATGCCTGTAATTCTAGCAACTCAGGACACTGAGATCTGAGGATCACGGTTCAAAGCCAGATGGGGCAGGTAGATCTGTGAGACTCTTAACTCCACTGAAACACCAAAAAAGTCTGGAAATTGAGTTGTGGCTCAAAGAGGTAGACTGCTAGCCTTGAGTGAAAAAGCTCAGGGACAGTGCCCAGGCTCTGAGTTCAAACCTCACAAGTGAAAACAAAACAAAACAAAAAAACACATAACAAAACTTACAGAACATAGGAAACAGGAAACAATAATGTCTATAGGAGAATTAGCTTTAAGTGTCTATGCTAAAAGAATAAAGCAATTAGTGATAGACTGATATAAATTAACATTTCATGAGTAAAGAAGATGAGAACAATCAGAAGATAGTATACTTAAATAAAGCTGTGAGCAAAAATCCATACCTAGAAAACCTGTCACAAATATGAAGGAAACAAATAGACTCAAAGTTGATCTTTGTAAAAGATAGAGGTAATTTGGTCAAAGTGCAAATCAACTGGTGAACTCTGGCTCACATACTAATAGATTTTGTTCTGGGGCTTAGACAAAGAAAGCAAGCATGGGTTTGGTTTAGATTATTCCCATTATACTCTATCTTCCTTTTTCTTCTCTGACAATATAGAGCACAACTCCCTGCTTTTCTCCCTGGTCTCATACATAAATTAAAAGATTTGACTCCCATTTTTAAAGTATCTTTTACTTATGAGTACAATGCATTTTAATCAATGTTATCCCTTTCATCATTATCTTCCCTCTGCCCCTGACCTACTAATCCCCTCAATTTCCTTATTTCTTTTTTAAAATTAATTTTATTTAATTAATTATTTATCTTGTGGATATGGTTCCAAGGCCTCGTGCATGCTAGGCAAGCACTGTACTATTAGGCCACATCCCCAGCCCCAATTATCTTATTTCTTGATGTAATTGCTCTACATGGTGCAATCATTGTATTTTTTCTGCAGCTGTCCTCTTAAAAGACTCCAAGTGTCTTCTGGAATAAAGACACAGGATATCACAATGGGAATTCTTCACTGAGGACTTCAAGAGATCTGCTGGAAAGGAATTGGAGTAAATAGGAGATCATGAAAGTTGCCTTTTGTTTTTCAAACATTTGTCCAATCTTAAGAGCTCTCTCTTTTCGTAGCTGCTAGCAAATCATCTGCATCATTTTAACAACAAAGACTTGCAAACCGTGGGAGAATATGGAGCCTCTAGAAATTATGGTGACGCAAATCACTCATTGTTTGGTTACTGCCTAAGAGTCTGGGGAAAAAAAATCATTTAGTTTTTGTTTGGCCCTTTTATAAAAATCCTAACTTCGTAGTGTGAATTTTAGGGATACCAATCTGAAATCATTATTTTTTGGGTTTCAGAAATATGAGTGTTATATCCTAGAGAACCAAGAGAAAAATATTTCCCTAAGTGGATTTAGGAGAGAGGGGGAGGAGGAGAGGAAAGCGGGGGAGAGGGAGATAAAGAGACACAGGTCTGTGCATAGGGATCCTCCTGGTTTCCTTAAACCCTTACCTTTTAAAATAGCTAGATTAATCCACATAAGCAATAATGAAGTCGACTATAATTATGAAAACCATAGTCACTCCAGATTCTCCTTGATTTCCCTGACTTAATCCTCTATGGTCAAACAGTGTTAGAATCTAGATTTCAACATTCCTCTCTATGAATCTAGTTTCAGGTAACCCTTTCCAGTTTCCTTCTTCTCTTCAGATGAACTCAGATCATCTACTAATACTCTTCTTCCATTCATGACTTTATTGTTCCAGATCAACCAGTGGGTTACCATAACATAATCTGCTGATGGACTCCATTTATTTGACATTGAGGTATGCTTATCTAAGATGGATCTATCATATTAAATAGTAACATATAATCCACAAACATACTTCCCAGGCTCTCAATCTTCCTAGATTTTCAGTGTTTTTTTTCAAGAATTAAATAATGCAAGTTATATTGATATTTGTGTTCTGCGAGAATAATTCTAAGAGGTAGAAATATACATGAAATTAAGCCAGAAAAATAATGGTTCTTAATCACAGATGAGAGAAAAGCTGAAAAGAATTTTCATATAAATAATAATTTTGCGCCTCTGTTATATGAACTGTGAATAATGACATAAACACCACATACTAGCTAATAGCAAAACAGCTGCACAGAAGACTTTTCTGCAATAAAGAGCTACAGTTAAATTCTGTGAGTATGACACTGCTCTACCCAGAGCCCCTCCCAATCCTACTACTACTCACTCCATGGACAGCAAAGAGGGAAACATGACCGCATGAACTGTTTCCCTTCTCTTTGATTTTTTTCATCCTCATTTCAGTAAGTTATGTGTCTAATAAGTCATATATAGATCTATTGGATATGCAAACTCTTATGTTGGAACTTCTCTTCTGTTAAGGTTTATAGAAAAAAAGATTTATGCTTAACACAGCTCTGACTTTCCTTGGCAATGAGGATGTGGCAGGAAGGAAACTGTTCAGTTGTTAAAGCTGGGGAAATTGAAAGCTATGAACAGGGCCGGAAGGAGTCCATGATGTTACAACACCCTTCTTCCCTTGGCAGATGACCAGCACTGCTCAAGTTTACTGATTCCACCCACTGTCGTTTTTTTCTTAACACTCCAGGAGATTCCAAAGCTCTGTTCAGATTCTGAGGGCTGTGGTGAGTTATCTTCCCACTCAAACAAAACCAGTCCTGTTCCTACAGAGTGCAAGGTCTCAGGATCCTGACACTGCTGAAGACATCTCCAGAGAGGTGAGTCCTTCTGACATCTCAAAACCCAGAAGATAACGAGGAAAATAAGCATTGATTCCTTAGATGATGGGAGCGGGGAGCAGGGTTCACATCAGCTGTACTGCCAGCTGTGAGTTACCCAGGCTAGAAAAAGACCTCATTTTCATAAACACAGTTATTCCAATATATAGTATCTTAATACTTTCATACCATAGGTGAACTTTCATGTGAGAGTTCATAGGAAAGAGGTAGTTAAAATCAATTACATAAATATATCCATATAGTAAATATGTATGTAGACTACATATAAATATTCCAAACAGTAGGTATAGATTATACCAAAATGTTAGGCATAGATTTAACTGAGTTAAATATATTGAATGCATTATAGTGAGTGTGTGTGTGTGTGTGTGTGTGTGTGTGTGTACATATAGGAGTATGTATTGCCAGTCTTTAGGCTTGAATTCATAGGCTGAGTGCTATCCCTGAGCATTTTTCTCAAGGTTAGTGCTTTAACACTTGGACCACAGCTCCACTTTCAGCTTTTTGTTAGTTAATTTAAGGGTCTCATGGACTTTTCTGCCTAGGCTGACTTTGAACCACAATCCTCAGATCTTCTGAGTAGCTAGGATTACAAGCATGAGCCAACCAATGCCTGACAAATGCCTTTATCCTAGAGAAAATGAGAACCCAACAATTTCAGACAGGCTAGAAATGTGGAATATAGAGAGATAATTGACTTTATGAAAATAACTTGTTAGAGAAATTAAACCTAGATGGAAGAAAACTGAAGAATGATTGAAAAGATTCAATCAACAAATGCTTTAATTCTGAATTAGGGCATAGCTCGGAATCTTGCAAAAGGGCAGCTATATGGGCATTAAAAACATGAAAAAGGAGGCATTCGTGGCACCATGGCACTGTGGTGGAAGGTTATTTCTTACCAAGTGAGAAGCTGCAGCCCATTTTTCACGTATCCCACCTAAGTCAGGATGTGGGAAGCTAGGAACCAACAAGGAAACATTTGAGCAAAGGCTCCAGGTCCCTAGAGGAAGGGAAGAGCAGCAGAGCACTTTGGCACACAATACAATCCATACTCTAAATACAACAATTGCCTATTTCTAGACCTTCTTTCACGACACCCACCACTGACCCAGTCCAACAACCATCCTTAATAGGGAAGAATTTTTATTTTATTCCTAATGAAGCAATTCTCAAGAGTGATGACACTCCCAACTGGTCACAAGCACACTTGTGAGCAATACTTGGACTCAAGCATTTCACTTACATCAGGAGACATCCCCTTTACAAAAAACTTTCTTTAGTCATGTGTAACACTGTATGCTGATTTTTCTCTTGTAGACTCATCAACAACTGGAGAGATAAATACAAGAATAAATACAAGAAAATTGTTCTGCTGAAAGGATTAGAGGCCATCAATGATTATCATTTTAGCTTATTCAAGTCTTTACTGGCCCGTGATTTAAGACTGACTAGAAAAAGGCTAGTTAAATGTGACAGAATTGAGATTGCTGACTTGATGGAGGATGAATTCCAAAATGATACTGGAGTGGGCAAACTGATAGCATTGTTCAAAGAGATACCGGACCTGAGAGAACTTGCTGAAACTCTTTGGAAAGAGAAGTTAAAAGGTAACAGGGAATAAAGAATAGCTCTCTCTGACACTATATTAGCTCTTCTATGTCCTTCCTAACCTTGAAATTCTCCTTTGTAATAGCTGATGCATTTTAACATATTCCTCAGTGTCTATGACATCATGACATCTTTATACTAGTTAAAGACACTACAGGTACCAATAAGATGTCAACTTGGAGTGTTCACCTATCAGTGGACTAGTGAATTGTTTTATATATATAGAACATGTATGTTTATTTAGTGTTTATTATTATGTATGTTTACATATATAAATATTATTATATATACTTTTAAATATACATATTTATATATTTTGTGTGTGGCATATCTACCAATGATGAAAAGATGAGGCTTCAGGTGCAATCTGGATTTTGTAAAATAACAAATAAAAATGACAGTGTACGGTTTATACATTAAATGTAACCCAATTAAGACTATACCTCTAGTAACAAAGACAAGGGAATACTTAAATGAAAACTCCTCTCAAAAAGGCAAGAAGATCTTCCTCCCCAGTAAAATTACTGAATTAACAAAAAGTTTTAAAGATTCAAAATCAACAATCACCTGTTTATGTGCCCACAAATCTATGTAATTTTCCTTTTCACAGGCTGCTATCATTATAATGCATCATATAGAAGACACAGCCAACCAATGACCATCATGAAAATCTTAGATTGTTAAAGAGGATGATGGGAAATGGGGGTGGGAGAAGACTCAACATGGGATTCAGAGGACAGGGAGGATTTGCTCACTCATGGAGGTTAGGGAGGAAAAACACAGAGGAACATGGAACAGTGTAGACACCAGCATAGTTACTCACACCCAAAACTGAAAAGAAATAGTACTGGAACTGCTTTAGCCTTTCTGGAGTCTGTGTGCTTTCTATGGATGTGTTCCTTTTCACTCTATTATGATGAAAACTAAACCCACCTCAGCAAAAGGAAAAACTCCAGCAAAAAAATTCAAGCAAGGACAAGTAGGTTGTTTATTCATACCAACTGCCAGCAACACTCTCACATCTGAAGAAGTGGTGGGCACTCCCAAGCCTCAGGTAAGCCTGAGGAAGACAAGCAAATAGGAGCTCATTCTACCATGGCTCTTCCCATCTCTGTCTCTATCAGGCATTTACTCCTCCATCAGTGTCCCTTCAGTGTGTGTGTGTGTGTGTGTGTGTGTGTGTGTGTGTGTGTGTATGTGCATGTTCACGTGTGTGCACACGCATGTGCACAGCTGCTCCTGGGGCTTGAACTCAGTGCCTGGGCTCAGTCTCTGAGCTTCTCTTGCTCAAAGCTACCACTTGAGCCACAGCTGTACTTCTGGCTTATTTTTTGTAGTTTACTGGAGATAAGAGTCTCATAGACTTTCCTGCTTGACTAGCTTCAAGCCAGGATCTCCAAATATCAACTTCCCGAGTAGCTAGGGCTACAGTTGTGAGCCACCAGCCCTTAGCTCCCATCAGTTTTAGACTTAGCACACTGCATGAGAATTGATCAGATGACATAATTATATCTTCATTCATAATAAAGAGGTTATTGACTTGAGAATCAGCTTTTTAAAAATCCTTTGCCCATATTTATTAGAACCTGTTTTTCCCAATTCTAAATCAGCCACACTTTGTCACAGAGACAACTACAGCAGAACCATATGTGTAACAATTTCCTGCCTATATGTTTAATGAAGCTATTTGTGCCCACATCTTGCAACTGGCCAGGGAACAGGCACTACTCCTTAAAGTTTCCAACCTGTGTGTGTAAAATAAACCTGCAAGCAAATAATTAAGATGTGCTCTACTTCATTTCATACTGAGAAGCATTAACCAGACAATTAAACTACTTTCAGAAAAGAGAAAGCACAAATAAAGGGAAGACTGTAACCAAAAAGGGAAAGGTGCTAGAGGAGCTGGCTCTCCCTGTAGGTCCTGAAGGAGCTGCAGATCCACCGCTACCAGGGTGACTCCCTAGCTCCCCAGGCTTCATCCGTTCCACCCAGCACTCCCTCGGCTCAGGTACCAGCTTCCTATTCCGTTTTACACTGCTTCTTCAATCCAAATGGAGGAATCAGAACTTGAAATTCTGATCTTTTCCTTAACTTGAAGGTAGTGCCGGTAGTTACAATCAGACAGACAGACACATATACATCCATATATAGGGATGTGGTTGGGGGAGGAGTCACTGTATCTTAACATTTTGCTTCTATGGAATATTTAATGAGCATGAGATTACTACATTTTTTTTGTCAATCCACACATGGGCCTGGGCGCTGTCTCTGAGTTCTTTTGCTCAAGGTAGTGCTCTACTATTTTGAGCCACAGCTCCACTTGTGGTTTTCTGTGGTTAATTGGAGATCTCATGGACTCTCCTGTCTTGGCTGGCTTGGAACCATGATCCTCTAATCTCAGCCTCCTGAGTAGCTAGGATTATAGGTGTGAGCCAATAGCACCTGGTTTATTACATTATTTCTGACAGTAGGAAGTTCTTTGTCCTGTTCTGACCCCAGAGAGGCGGGAAGAGGTGTAGCATCCAGCATACACAGGTACAAACAGCAGTAGATTTGCTTTTGCTGATCCAAACTCTTTCACATCTCTTCCCTTTAGCGGACTAACCACACAGCATTTTCTTTTCTTCTTCAGGGTTTTCACACATGATATGTTATCTGTACTTGGAACACACTTAAGAGTTCAAGGGATTCCACCATCTGAATCCCATGGCTGAGAGAAAAAGAATCAGCATAACTCAGGCATTCAGAAATATCTGGGCATTAGGAAACATTTCTCTTCAAGCTGCAGATGAGGAATAGTGATTCAAAATAAAAAAACACAATATGGCAAATGAGGGAATGAAAATGGATAGATTTGAGAAGGGACAGCGTCAGGTCCATAAGACCAAAAGATAATCATGACTAAAGGGAACAGTGTTGTTCTCTCCATTGTTGAGATCTCATGGTGTCTTTCTTACCTTTCTTTCAAGGTGGTCAAGGGTAAGAAGAAACCAGCCAGTTACTTCAAAATCTGGAAGTTGAAGTTAAGAACTGCCCTCCAAATCAACTCACTGTCTTCAACAGTGATTCTATTAAAAAAAGAGACTTGTATATAAATCATAGTGGGCATTATGCTTCTTTGTTTTATGAAAAATTCTTTTTCCTCCTCCTCCTCCTCCCTTCTTGTCTAAGATTATTATATTTGGATTTATGCTATTCATAATGCACTCAAACTTCAATATATATCTTACAAAATTAAGGAAAGTAAGAGAAGGGATGTGTTGGGAGGGGTTGGTGAGAATGTTAAAAGGATTGACATTGATCAAGGCACATTGTATTCATAAACTGCTTTGTTAAGTGGAAACTCCTTTGTACAGCTACTTAGAGATAATAAAAATATTTTTAAAATTCTGTTTTTAAAAGGATTTCATTCCCCCAAAGTGTCCACATGTTTTGTTAAAGCCAGTAGTGAGCTCGTGGGAGATGGCTGATTTGTGCAGTGTGAGGCACACAGGTGGAGGGGCTCAGCAACATGGTGTTCAACCTTCTGATTGATTCCTGGAGAGCAAGATCATATCAGGGTTGTTCCCCAAGTCTATACAGGTTGCTCAAGCCGTGTGGCCTATTGAAGAGTTTTGTTGGTCAAGAGAAAAGAATTTCTCTTTTGTAATCAAATGTTCTCCCCCCAATTATAGTAACTCAGTGATAGAAATTTAATTTTTAAAGCCACTGTTTAAAATATTCAAAATGAGACTATATCAAATTTACATATTAGATTTTTTTTGGGGGGGTCCGGTCATGGGCCTGAACTCTGGGCCTGGGCGCTGTCTCTCAGCTCTTCAGCTCAAGGCTAGCACTCTACCACTTGAGCCACAGTGCCACTTCCAGCTTTTCTCTTTTTTGCTTATGTGGTGCTGAGGAATCAAACCCAGGGCCTCATGCATGCAAGGCAAGTGCTCTACCACTGAGCCACCTTCCCAGCCCTACATATTAGATATTTGACAATGGTTTTCTGTGATCCAAAGAGCAGCATACACATGATAAGCGGTTAAAAAAAATTATGAGAGTTTTCAATACTTTGAACAATAAGCAGCTTAGAATCCTTGTGAGGTGACAAATTCACAAAGCAAGTTATACAACTGTCCCAGAAACCTGAGTTGATTTTCAGATTGCCAAATAGTGTAAACTTTTCAACTTATGGCTGTCACAGTGAGCCTAGAGGGCAAGCAACACACTTCACGACACTTCTACAAAACAGCTGGATTCTTACGAGAAAGAAGATGCACCAAGATGGCCTCATTCATTAGCTGAATTCTTAAGGGAGACGAGGAAGCAGAAGACCCACAGAGAGCATTGCTTAGAGGTAAAAGAAAGAAAACAATGCTGAGAATATTTATGTTATAGGATAGTAATCTACCTTTTAAACCATAGGTATCTAAGTAAACAGGAAAGTGATAGCCTGAAGAATTAAGACCATGCAATAGACAAATAGCTCATTTAAGCCTTTCCTAACAAAGCCTGAAACCCAGCCACAATCATTTCTAAATTATGCTGCGATAATTGAGCAAGAGGATTTTCTTTAAGATTTAGATCAGCTCATCATTGAAAGAAAATTCCCAGAGTCATGGCAACTGCCCTGCAAAAAAAAAAAAAAAAAAGGTTTAAAACAAAAAACAAACAAACAAAACCAAAGTTTCCACAAGTGAGTAAGGGAAGAAGTAACATTGTGTAAAAAGAAATGTTCTCATTATCTGGCTAATGTAACTGTAACCCTCTCTACATCATCTTTATAATAGTAGCAGCAAAAATCAAACATTTTTGAAGTCGTAATTTTCCCCAGCTACAAAGGCCTAGGCAAGGGCTGACCCAGACTCCAGAGCCAGCTCTTTCGTTTCTATCATGATGTATCACTGTTGCCATTACTTCTTCTCTTCTCTTTTTGTTGCCATCTGGGCCTTCTCTTCTACTGATGAAGATCAAAAATAAGCAAGAAAAGACCACTCCAGAGAAAGAAGCCTTTTACTGGGCCTAATGTGACCTCACCAGTGCCTAGCACAGAAGAGTGAACAAAGTGAACTAAACAGTCTGCTTACTTACCCAGATCACAAGTGACAGGATTTCAGTACCAACCACAGGAATTCCTTTCTGCCAATGCAGGACTGTGGTTCCACAAATTAATGGGTCTGGGGAGAAATAGCTTCAGTTTTTTGGAGTTCCCCAAGGCCAAACTGCTCATTTCTCTGAATCTCAGTAGTAAAGTCTTCTCAGGAAAAATCTTGTTTGAACATATAGTATTTTTTCATTTCTGTTGAAAACTGTAATTCGTTAAGTAATAATTCTCTTCCCACTCTGAACACTTTAAAAATTGAAGTAATCTTTCTGCCATTTAAACTAATTTGTGCAATTGGCCGACTGACTACCTACCTCAGATAACACTTTCAATAAATTCAATATACCAAGGAAAGAATGAATAACAAGCATGAAGGTCAGAACTTACAGATGAAGTCAAACATGAATCATGGTTATTTAATTTAAAAAGGGATATTATAAATTGAGTTCAATTGTCTACTAACATATGCACAGAAAATACGACAGAAAAAAATAGGAGCATTAAAAGGTTTAAGGAAATCCAGACAGAGGAAGACAGGATAGCAACACCCAGATCTATGAATCTCTAATTTTCCTTAGTATTAACATGCTATTTATATATATTTTTTTACTATTTCATTTGCTCTTTTTAACTGTATTATAATCTTTCATGACTTTTATTGACTTTGATCTTGGCTTTGATCTCTTGGCTTCTTTGTCCAAGCTGAAGTGTTCTCTTTCTATTTATTGCTCTCTTCCACCTGCTTATAGACTCTACTCTTCCACCTTCAATGAAGTAAGGTCATGAGATGACTAGTATATACAGTATAGTACCACACTGTACATACAACGGTTACGAGGAAAGAGCTCTCAACAGGGAATGTAAGATGAAACACACACACACACACACAAAGGTGATTCCATACTGTATGGTTAGCATGAGACATAATTGAATTTACTATACCCAATGGAGGGCAGGATATAGGAGACCTATAATGGAATTTTAGAATTAGAATGTAATTTATGGCAATGATGGCATCTTTGGTACACTACATGTAGTTACTGCCACCTCGTGTGCATCTCTGGAAACTACACTTTCTAGTCAGCTATCCAAAGCAGGGAAGGAGGTTGCTGGGGAGAATCTTAAGAGTTGATCTTAAGATCTTGAAAGTGTTGTGTTGGGGGCCTTCATTTGGGAGAGTTCTTAAGTGAAATGCTACTTTGTTAACCAATTTTAATCATTCACAGAGAAAGTCAAAACTATCACTCTTGAGGGGGGAGGAGTTTTGGAGCTTAAACAAAATTCAGGCACAAAGGAGATATTCAATAATATGAAAAATATTTCTGTTCTGGGCAACTTAGAATGTCCTAAGTATAGAGACATAGGAGACGGGAGATTCCCAGGACTCGAAGGCAAGGGTCTTCCCCCTGAAGAAACGCAGACTGTCTGGGACTATGGCAGATTGCTACAGGAGTGGTCTGTCTTCAAGGAAAGCAAAAAAGGATGGAAGAAAAGACTTTCCAAAACTCAATATATGATGCCAAATATAACCAAAATATGAAACTTGGGATCTTCTTTATTCAGAAGGTGTGGGGGAAGGAAGAGGAAATAGAAAGATAAAGGGGGACCAAATTGTGCATGGATGGAATTGCCGTAATAACGCCCCCCCCACACACAGACTCCTGTTGTTAAAGTATGCTAACTCAAAACTTAAAAATACTAAAAGATTACCACATTTCTTCCTCCTTCCTCCCTGTGTATCACTTCAGATCACCTGCCGGTCTTAGCTGCCTTGTGAGGGTCCCTTTCCAAGAACATCATCATATTTCTTGCACAGTAGCTGATAGGCTGATTCATCCATTGACTGATGCCATTTCAAGATTTTTAAAAAAAGTTATTTTCAAGCACCTGACCTTTCTACAAGTCCAGTGCTGTTCCACAATTCTCTAGGCTTCAATGTGGTCTGGATATGAGCCAGCTTCCTGCTGCGTGTCTACAAATAATTCAGGAAGCCTGAGAAATTGTGGCTTTAATGATTGAGGTAGAATAGCTTAGCTATGACTGATTTTCTTTCTATCTCTTTGATGCTGGACCCCTATGTTTGTATAACATTACGCTTTGACACATCTCAGGTTTGCTAACTATCAGCAATGTGTGGATCCTTCAAGAAATCACTTGCAGTGGTTTCATGGCCCACTTCCCCATTCTGGACTGCCTGTCTCTACAAGGAAAAGAGAGAGAAGACTAAGATGACCTGTCTTTCTCTTTAGATAAAATAGTTTCATTCAAAGGAATGTAGGTTTTTGAATTACCCACACGCTCTCTGTTGGACATGAAAGCTCTAATGTTAGAACTTCTTTTATGTGTGGTGATTTATAAGAAGGGGGAAAAAAACCTAAGTGTAACACACACTCTTGCCTTTTATTTGTGATCAGGATGTTACAGGAAGGAAACTGTCCAGCGTCTACAGTTGGGGAAATCGAAAGCTATGAGTCTTTTTGGGAGGAGTCCAGTGTTACAACACCCTGCCCAGGCTCACAGAACAGTGAAAGCTAAACATCCCTGCTTGAATTAAGTGACCCAAATCAGTGCTCTTTTTGTTTTGAGTTTCAAGATATCTTCAGATATACATTCCAGGAGATTGCAACTCTCCTGTGGTTCATATTCTGAGAGCTTGGCTGAGTTCTCTCTCTCTCCTCGCACCTAACCAACCCGGACTCATTGTACAGCTGAAGATCGAAGCATCAGGGCATTGCTGAAGAAATCTCCAGAGAGGTGAGTCCTGGCTATGTTTTCTGTACAGAAGATTTTTGACACCTCCTGGGAAAATCCACAAAACCATCCTGGGGAAAACCCGTGTTGGTTCTTTGGATGGAGAGGGGAAGGGAGGAGGCCTGGTATCAGTTGCCTTCGGAGATGTGAAAACTGCAGTAGCCTGATTCTGTTGTTTCATGGAGGAAGATAACAAACACACACTGGTATTCTTCCACCACTGAGGCCTGGGCAAGGGAAATGCAGGTTGTCAGATATATTCTCTGGCTATGAATTGGTCCAAGTTGATATTTATAGAAAGATTTTGGTTGTCTCAGCTAAAGAGAGTATAGGAAGTTAGATGACTAGTGTAAAGGGCCTCAGGAAAAGAAAAGGCAGTATGGTGAAAAAAATCTTGAAATATTATTTAGTTAAAAAGTGTATCTTACAATGGAATTCTATGCCTCCATCAGAAAGAACGACATTGCCCCAT